CCTTGAAAATATTTTGCTAAGTAAAATGAGCCAGATATTTATGACAAATATTGTACAATTCCACATATAAGAAGTACATGGAATAGGTAAATTCATGGAGACAGGAGAAGAGAGCTTACCAGGGTTGGAGAAAGTGGGGAGTTACTGTTTAATGAGAGCACAGTTCCAGTTTGAGATGATGAAAATGTTCTCGAAAGAGACAGTAGTAATCATACAACATGGTGAATGCTTTGAATGCCACTAAATCATATTCTTAAAAATGGCTAAAGTGGTAAATGTTTCGTTATGGATATTTTACAATAAATCTCAACAATGAAAAATAACCCAAGTAAAAATGGACAAAAGATCTGAAGACACCTCACCAAAGAAGACATGCAGATGGCAAGTAAGCAATATGTCAAACATCGTATGTCATAAGGAAATAACTATACACCTAGCAGAACGGTCAAAATCCAAAACACAGACAAAACCAAGTGCTGGTCAGAATGTGGAGCAACAAGAAGTCTCATTCATTCCTGGTGAGAATGCAAAATAGTACTATCACTTTGGAAGACAGTTTGACAGTTTCTCAAAAACTAAACATACTATTAATATCAGTATATGATCTAGCAGTTATACTCCTTGATATTTACCCAAATGAGGTAAAAACTTATTTCCACATATAAACTGCATGCAAATGTTTGTATCAGCTTTATTCATAATTGATAAAACTTGGAAACAACCAAGATGTCCTTCAATAGATAAAAGGATAAACTATAGTTCATCTAGACAACAGAATAGTATTCAGCAATGAAAAGAAGTGAGCTACGCAGCCGTATGAAGACATGAAAGAACCTTGAGTATACATTGCTAAGTGAAAAAAAGCCAATCTGCAAAAGCCACATGCTGTTTAATTCCAACTATATGACATTCTGGAAAAGGTAAAACCAGAGAGACAGTAACAATATTAGTTTAATGGGGGTTAGTGGGGAGAGAGGGATGAATAGATAAAGCACGTAGGATTTTTAGGGCAGTGAAACTATTCTGTATGATACTATGATGGTGGTTATATGTCATTATACATTTGTCAAAATCCACAGAATGTACAACGTAAGAGTGAGCCCTGTGTAAACTATGGGCTTTAGTTATTAATAACATATTGATATTGGTTCAACTGTAAGAATTGTACCATGCTAATGCAAGATGTTAGAAATAGGGGCAACTGGAAGCAACAGGTATAAGGTGCTATAGGGGAACTTTCTACACGTTCCGCTCAATTTTTCTGTAAATCTAAAACTGCTCTTTTTTTTTGATAGATTCTCCCTCTGTTGCCCAGGCTGGAATGCAGCTATGCAATCTCAGCTCACTGCAACCTCTGTCTCCCCGGTTCAGGCAATACTCCTGCCTCAGCCTCCCGAGTAGCTGGGACTACAGGCACAGGCCACCACACCCAGCTAATTTTTGTTTCACCATGTTGGCCAGGATAGTCTAGATCTCCCAACCCCATGATCCACCAGCCTCAGCCTCCCAAAGTGCTGGGATTACAGGTGTGAGCCACCACACCCAGCCATCCATTCATGATTTTAAGTGCAGGGGAGGAAGGCTTAAGCCAAAGTCAATGGGTTGAGAACTACAGACTGGATGCAATTTATTCCATCCAGCCAAGAACACAGAATGGAGTAAAGTGAGGGGATTTTTTTAAGCCAATGTTATATAAATACTACAAAACTTTGTTTGGATTTAATTTGCTGTTGTATGAGTAATACCCAAATGTCAATTACTACCATTTACAAGTAATTAGAAAGTGCCTTTTATTTTCTTTATTGACAAGGTGCTAAAGCAAAGCAAAAGATCTGGGGAAAATATTTTGCTACCCAACTTCACATCCATTAGGATTTTGTGAGTAACATAATTACTCCTAAACAAAGCAAGTTGGCATCGAACATCCTTTGGGAGTTTATGCCATTCAAGAAGCACTTATGTATTGCAAAATGCCTATGCTTAATCCTAACAAGCACAAAAGGGTGACAGGCTTTAATGTATGTAACTCAATGCTGACCTTTTCACTCTTGCTTTTTGTTTTAAAAAGCAAAGAGGATGAACCACTTACTTACCTTACTGAATCAGATCAAGAACAGGTTTTTGGCCTCTCTGTTCAATGCTCTATTACTCAGCGAAGACAATCGCTGATAATCACTCAGTGCTACGCACAAAAGAAACTCTGCTGCTCTACAAAGCCAAGACACGCTCAGCCACCTTCATCTGTCCCTCTAGCCTACAAGGGCTCTTCAGAGCCTGTGATGGAGAAAGAAGTACTAAACTGCAAAGGGTAATACAAAGTCTTTGCTGGTCTTTGCTACCCAGGGCTCAGGGTCTAAAAAATAACTGGCAATATTTTCACTTAATAAAGCATCTGCTGCATGCTTCTCCTTTACGGGATCTACATCTATAAAGAATTTGCATCTCCATTGCCAGCATCTCATTCATAAGTGAAAGTAACAGTAACAATGATCTATCTGAACTTTGGCAATCCCTAGAGAAGAGTTTTATTGCCTATGATTAACACTCGAAAGTAAGTTAATCCAAAGACCTGCAAATACTAGTTATGAAATAACTGTAAAATAAAATAAATATGGCTATAAAATAAAGCCACAGAAGTTTCGAGCTATAAAAGAATATAGATTATCTAAACCCAATGTTATTTGTATAATTACGTATTTATGCTTAAGTTGTACTGGAAAAAAACTTCTGTTTATAGACGTTAAAAACATGACTGAAGAAAATAATACACAAACATTAATATAGTATACAATGTAGCAAGCATCTCATGATATCAGAATGTCTGAAATCTGCAGACACAATGGTTGACTCCATCCTCTATATTAAGAGGTCATGTGACCTGATCAAGAGGTAGTTAGTGGGGGTAGAATAAAGTAGTAGAGCTGGATGTAGAGAGAAAAGAACACCTAGTTCCCCATCAGTCTTTTCCCCAGGTTACAGGGCTGATCCATTCCATTAGACAGCTTAAATAACCCTTCACTCTATCACTGCAATGTTTCTTCCTATCAAAGAATTCTTGCTCCACCCCTAAAATAGTAATAGGCTGCCAGTCACCCAAATGCACACTCCTCAAATTCAAGGCCAAAATAGAAAACACAAGTTCAAATTCTAGAACTTGGCCCACAAGGTTCCATTCTGGGCAAGTGAGATGGGGTAGAAGTAAAAGCTCTGTATTGGCAGGGATTCCATCTCTGGCTCAAACCAGGTGGATTCAAAAGCTCTAGCTCTGCTGTTGAAGCTGTGTGACTCAGAGGTAGTGCTCCCCCCAGCCTCTATTTTCTCATTTGCAAAATGAATACAAGCACATGAGATAATTATAGATGAAGCAGTGCCTGGGATGAAGTACACCTCCGTAAGCACAGGAGTAGCAAAACATTCATTCCTACATCCTTAGTGCCCAATGCAGTACCCAGCACACCAAACAGTTGCTGAGTGAAGCAGAGAACCCACTAAATCCAGCCTGAGATTCAATCAAAATTCCTGGGCCCAACTTGTAAGTGGGCCCCTAACTTACTCCAAACCAGGGACCCATGTCCCCTAAACCACGGATGGCCTTGATCATTGACAAAGGAAGAGTCTGTTCATATACTTGAAGTAAGGCACAGCCTGAGAATCTGCCTCTGAGAAGCCTCGTACATCACAGTCTATGTTCATTTCATCCCAAAAGATTGGCACTTTGGGCTGCCCTGGCATTCCATTGTCTCTCTCTTCATTTTTATAAGCAACAAGCTGACAAAATGACATTTCGGGCACCTGACTTTAGTAAATGCCCTTTAAAAAGGCCTGGGAACAATCCTCACAGCTAGGACTCTACTCTGCTAAGGCAACCTTCCTTAGCTGAAAGGTATCACCTACTAAGAAATCCATCATAGAAACAGATAAAGTAAGAGAGTCAGAGACAATTCCACTATCTGCCTTCATGTGGTTCCTAATTCTCAAAACTAAAAGATGGACTGAGCTATTTTTAAATGAGGAAACTGAAAAGGCACCAAAAACGTTCTCACAATCCAAAGCACTCATCCCTAGAGCACGCTTATTTGGCCAGAAAAAGAAACTCTCTGGCTCTGCAAAAGTGAAGCAGAATGCAAAATTGCATCTTTCCCCTTGTACCAAAAGGAAAAAACGGAAAATGGCTTTACAAAAGGTCCAACAATCTTTGAAGTAAGTTTTTTCTGAGGACTATGGACATTCCTTCTCACACCTTTACGTTTTCCAGGATAACGGGAGAGGTAAAAAGGAGAGTTTCGGAGCAGGAGAGGGAGAGAGTTGGGATATGTTCATTCTATTTTTAAATCCTCGCCCACAGTTTAGAGTAAAGGAACACTCTGATTCTCTACTCCCACCCCTATCACCTTCTGCTAAACACAAGAATCAGAACCTGCGCACGTACTGATTCTGGATTTAGAGATTACTGGCTGCCAATACTCCAAGGAATCGCAAGCTAACCAAGCATTCCACCCAGGGAACCCGGCGGCCGGACGAGGCTAGAGCTGCGTGCAGAGAGTGAAGCAGTCACAACCCGCCTTTTCCGAAGGGGAGGCAGCGCCCCCTCTGCAGGGCACGCTCCATTCTCACGGCTGGGCACCCAGGGCTGAGCAATTCTGCCCCTAAGGGAGCTGGAGCTAAGGACGCGATGGGATCTGCCCGCAGGCTGCGGCGCGCTCTGCACTCTGGCCCCACTCCTGGGACACCTGCGTGCCGCGCACGCCCACGCCCACCCGCGCTCGATCACCTCCCGGCCAACCCCGAACGCAAAAGGCGTAGCGACCGGTCTCTCTCTCCCTCTGATGGTTGCTGGTCCGCCTGCTTTCCGTATCCTTCCTGCCTCGGCGGCGTCTACACCCGTCCCCCCGTGTACCGGGGGCAGAACCCCTGCGGACGCGCAGGAGACCCGGGCTGAGCGCCACCTCCCCGTCCCTCCCGCCCCGGGGCCGCGTCCCCGCGAGGCTCGGGACACTCACTCTTGAGCGCGCTGATCAGTGACTTCCCGTCCTTGATGAGCTCCTTGATGAATTTGTTGGTCTTGTCCAGCTCTGCTTCGTGCGACTTGAGCGTCTCTCGGAAGTGCGGGCTATCGAGGCAGCAGTCGCTGAACTCCAGCGCGGGGAGCCCCATGGTGCCCGCGGCGCCCAGCCGGAGGGCGCGCCTCCTCCGGGGTCCGGGCCTCCCGCCGCCCAAAGCACGCACGCGGCGGGACCCCGGCCGGCTCCCCCGACGGCCGCCGGCTCCACAGGTGTGGCGCCGGCTCGCCCCCCGCGAGGTGTCGCCGGTTCGCACAGCTCCCGAACCGAGCCGGGACCCGGCCGAGGGGCAGCTGCTCCGGGAGCGCGCGACGGAGCGGCTCGCGAGCAGGAAGTGCAGCGCAGACCCGCAGCGGCGCCGGGAAGCGAGCGAGCGGGCGAGCGAGTGCAGACGCCGCCTCCCCGCCGCCTTCGCTCGCTAGCTCTCGGCAGCCTCGAGCGCCCTCTCACAGAAGCCTCGGCCGCCCCGCCGGCGTCTGGGCCACTCGAACCCGCTAGCGATGACTTAATCCCCGCCGGGCCAATCAGCGCGCCCTCCCTTGCCCGACCCTCTGGCCGCCTCGGGAAGCCCGGCCCTCTCGCGGCCTGATCCAATCAAAGGCAGGGTCTGCGGCTGAGGGCGTGGCTCTCGCCAACGCCTAGGTCCGCAGCGCAAGCTCCGCCTCCTCTCGCCCTCCCGGCGCTGCACACCCCGAAACCTAAGGGTGAGTGCTGCAATGCACGCCCCCCAGCCACCTTGCCCGCCTGCTCCGGCCCGAATCCGAGCCGCGGATGGCGAGTCTGCTAGTCCTGGGGGCCGAGGAGCTTCGATGTGCCAAGGATGAAAAATCTGGGAATTAGAGCTGCAGTTCACCACCGCCTGCCCTGCACTGCTGGGCAACCGATTTTACCCTCAAAATACAGTCCCCTGTCCCGGGAGAATCCCGAGCGACCAAACCCTCCTCTTTCAGTCAGGCCGAAAAATGTTACTTGCATCTTAAAATTACCAGCTCTAGCAGCTCTTCTTGCCTGCAGTCTTGCCTCCCCCTACGGTTCGTCCCCTTCACGGCCACTCCTGCTCAGAACCCGCCCCCGGTCCCCCCGCCCCCCCCCCCCCCCACCCGGCCGAAGGAGCTCACAGCCATCCTTACGAGAATTTCAGCTGCCTGTTATCTTCCTGCTCTGCATCTAGCACAATTTTACATAATTCCGTCCACTGCCTGTCATCCTTCGCTACACGGTAAGCCCCACGAGGGCAAGTGCCACTTCAATTTTCTCGTCCGCTGTGGCATCCCGGCACCTAGCACAGTGGCTGGCATTTAATAACAGATATTGAGCGCTTACTATGTGCTATGTGTGCTATGGTGATTGATAAATGTTTGTGGAATAAATGAATGGATCCTTCCCCAGAGCCATCTCCACCTCCCATGCCCAGTGCATTGCACTGTAGTCCCTCTGTTCGACCGCAGGACTCAATTCTGGCATCTCACTCGTTGCACTTGTCAGACTGCGTCCCACAGAGTGTCTAGTGCTAAACTGTGAACTCCTGGAGGATGGCGACTGTCCTTGAATAAATTATTTCTATGTCTAGGAACCAGCAGCCATTTCAGCTACGTGGAATTTTCGTATTTGTTTGGGTTGGTTCGTTTTTTAACTAGGTCTGCTATGTGCAGGCACTACCCTAGATGGTAAGGATACAAAAAGGAGTAACAGAATGAATTTAGCTGCTGGTGGTCAGTAGGAGAGATGGAAGCAAACAAGGAATAACCATGCCTTTTGATAGGATGGAAGGCCTGGATGCTTGGAAACATGGATTTTTCACTCAGGAGGGCTCAGAGGTATTCCATCTATATTAAGAAAGCAGCCGGCTGCGGTGGCTCAAGCCTGTAATCCCAGCACTTTGGGAGGCCAAGGAGGGTGGATCACGAGGTTAAGAGATTGAGATCATCCTGGTCAACAAGGTGAAACCCCGTCTCTACTAAAAATACAAAAAATTAGCTGGGCATGGTGGTGCGTGCCTGTAATCCCAGCTACTCAGGAGGCTGAGGCAGGAGAATTGCCTGAACCCAGGAGGCGGAGGTTGTGGTGAGCCGAGATCGCGCCATTGCACTCCAGCCTGGGTAACAAGAGCGAAACTCCGTCTCAAAAAGAAAAAGAAAAAGAAAAAGAAAGCAACTGATTTATTAAATTCATAAATGGAGCACGGTGGCTCACACCTGCAATCCATCGCTTTTGGAGGCCAGGTGAGAGGATTGCTTGGGGTCAGGAGTTCAAGACCAGCTTGGACAACATAGTGACACCCCCATCTCTACGAAAAATTGTCAAATAAATAAGTAAATATATAAATGACTTAATGTGATCTGTTTGATAATTGTATCTACAAATTTAGACTTGATAGCAGGCCCAGACAGCTATCTGATAGATAATTGCAAACCAAAAATAATGGTTCTTCACTTGCCAAAGATGAGAAAGATCTAGAATGGAAACTCTATGAAAGTAAATCTGTTCAGTGCTTTATCTTGAGCATTTAAAGGTAGGTGTTCTGGTTATCTATCAATACAGAACAAAGGACACCAAAAATTAATGGATTTTCTCTCACAGTCTCTGTGGGTTAGGAATTTGGGGAGGCCGAAACCACTCGGTGGTTCTGGCTTGAGGTCTCTCATGTGATAGTAGTTGGATGGTGACAAGGTCTGGAGGAGTGAGTGGTTAGCTAGGCATCTCCCACTTTTCTGGTAACTCAGGACTTCTCCATATTATGGCCTTTCTCTGTGGCCCGGTTTAGGCTTCCTCACAGTATCGCAGCCTTAAGGCTCCACTGTGAACATAGACAGCTCACAAAGGGAAAGCTGCATCACCTTTTACGATCTAGCCTTGTGAGGTGGAAGGCCTGCAGGACTTGTTTTCCAATCACAGCCCCACTGCTTAAACTGGGATCCAGTCAACACAGGGTGCAGTGAAGCAGCCAGCAGAAACCAGCAGGTGAGGAAGAAAGAGACTTTTAGTTGCCCTCACTGCTCATTAGCATAGACACTCCCACCATTGCCTTGACAGTTTACAAATGCCACTGCAAGGAGCCATGGCAATGGCCTGGAAGTTACCTTATATGGTTCTGGAAACTCCTTGCCCCCTTTCCAGAAAGTTCTAAATAACCCACCTCTTAATTAGCATATAATTAAAAGTAGGCAGAGGTACAGCTGCCAACAGCCTATACACTGCCTACTCTGAACACACTCCCTATGGGATAGCCCTCCTCTGCAAGGAGCAGCGCTGATTCAATGAAAGTTGCTTTCTCTCACCACTAGCTTGCCCTTGAATTCTTTTCTGGGCAAAGCCAAGAACCTTCCTGGGCTAAGCTGCAATTTTGGGGCTTGCCTGCCCTGAATCGCCGGAAGTCACACACTTCTACCACTTTCATTAGCCACAAGCAAGTCATAAGCCCACCCAGATTCCAAGGGAAGGAGATTAGACTGTACCTCTAGATGGAGGAATGACAAGAATGGGAGGTGCTATCATAGCCATTTCTGAAAAATATAATCTGCCACAGTGGGCCTGGCATACATGGTCATATTCAATACATTTTAAATGAATGAAATAAAATGTGATCCACAATTATTTGTTTTATCCCATTTAGGAATAGTAGGCAAATGTCTATAAAATATATACATGTATTAATAATAACAACAATAATATATCAGCTATCATTTGTTAAGCTCTGAGTTTATGCCAGGCACTATGGTAAATTATTTACATGCATTTATAGCTAGCATAGTGGCACATGCCTTTAATCCCAGCTGCTCAGGAAGCTGAGACACAAGCATTGCTTGAGTCCGAGAAGGCAGAGTTTGCAGTGAGCCAAGATCATGCCACTGCACTCCAGCCTGGGCTGCAGAGCAAGACTCCATCTCAAAAAAAAAAAGAAAAAAAGAAAAAAAAAAATTATTTACCACATATAATCCCTATGAGGTGTGACTGGTACTATGATAGTTCCCATATTTCAGATAAGAAATTAAGGGCCAGAGTAACCTGAACCAGCTTACCTAGATAATATTAACAATTATATGTGGCACCAACATATAACCTAATACGCTCATTCACAGAAAAATATGTAGATATGTGAATATTGTGTAAATTTCTCATAAATTTAATCTGGAATTTCCACACAAGACCTCCCATGCTTTCAGCAGTATTATCAGAAAGAGAGAATCACAATGCAGCAATACAGGCTGGGTATGGTGGCTCACACCTGTAATCCCAGCATTTTGGGAGGCCGAGGTAGGTGGATCACAATGTCTCAGAGATAGAGACCATCCTGGCCAACATGATAAAACCCTGTCTCTACTAAAAATACAAAAATTAGCTGGGCGTGTTGGTGCATGCCTGTAGTCCTAGCTACTCGGGAGGCTGAGGCAGAGAATGGCTTGAACCCAGGAGGCAGAAGCTGCAGTGAGCCAAGATCATGCCACTGCACTCCAGCCTGGTGACGGAGCAAGACTCCATCTCAAAAAAAAAAAAAAAAAAAAAAGAATGCAGCAGTACAGAAACTGGCACATGATGGAGGGTGCAGTTGTCTCTCTCCTCCCAGAAAATCAGCTCATGAGGGTAGAGATCTTGTATTATCCAATGCAGCAACCCCAGCTTAGAACAGCAACTGGAACTTCAAAGGTACTGAACATCAATGGGAGGGACCCATCTTTACTAAGCAAGAAACAGGACTCATGGGACAACATCAGTATGGCCATGCATGTAAATAGAAAATAACAGTTAAGCCCCAGAAATCACTTTCATATGAAATAGAGAAACCGTTCAGGCAACATTTGGCCTAAATCCTTTGGATGAATGTCTGAATTCCTTAAAATTAGCCAGTTAGTTCAAATAGTTCTGCTTTTATATATATTTTAAATCTACATTATTTCTGGCCTCAATGGTCCAAATAACTTTATAACTGTCATGCAATTACCTCCCATTTGTAGAAACTTTGCCACTGGCAAGGCACTCCAATGTACGTTGTCTCTGAGCCCATATAATCAGAAGTGGGCATGGACCAGTCACACATTGGTTCCTCAACACCAGCTTGAGAACAGATCTGATCCATAATAAAGCATTCATGGGTCCTTATGTAACTGAGAAGTTCAGGGGTAGATCCAGCTTCAAGGCAGCCTTTGGGGATCCAGAAGATGATACCAGCACAAGGTTTCTCTCTCTATCCCTCAAGCTGAACTTTGTCTGCAGTGGCTTCATTCTCAGTGGCTCCCTCAGCTTCTCCAAATGACATCCAGCAATATTAGCAGGAAGAGAGTTTTCTAAGAATTCCAGTAGAAATGACAAGGCTGGAGTCAAAGATAAAACAGCCCCACTCCAATAACATAAAGTATTGGAGAGAAGTTGTTCCACCAAAGGACAAGCACAGTGCATTTAGCAAAGAAAGCTGGGATTACTGCTGCACAGGCAGAAACAATAATGGATGGCACACCTGACCTGTCCCCAACTCCCTCA